TTTTGTCTAGAAGTACTAAATATATAAACATTTATTATTAAAAAAATAGTATCCCAATATGTCCATGTCCTACTTTTTTAGAAATTGACATATCGTCGTATCATATCGTATACATATTCATGTCTGCATCAGCACTTAGTTAAAAATATGTCAACACCTACAGTGCGGTTTTGGATCATACAACCCCCCTTAATAACCTCATGGAACAGGGTTCCATAAGAAAAGGATAACCTTTCCTAGAGTCTTTTGCTTCCAAATGACCTTTGAGACATTCACTAGAAACACTGATCTTGAAATGGGCAAACGAGAAAATAACTATTTACTAAATTCTCCCCCACCACCGCACACAATGGAACATAAAAATGGAAGCAAGTTCCACCCCCTTTAATCCATTCCCCTAAACTGTCTCAACTAGAGCCATTGCATCTTCAATAACCTACTCCAAGAAATCATTTTTTAAACTTTGATTAAATCAAAATTTAATTGACGATGAGCTCTTCTAAAATCTAAGTCCCACTCTGCTTGTGATTCACTCCAGCAATTTAATACATCAACATTTTTTGAATGAACGCTCAATAGAGACTAGATTGCACATAAGCTCTATAACGGCAAGATTGCCATCCAAATGATATTCCCAGAATCTTGTATTCCACCCAACTCCCATTTTTGTTGGACTCAACCTAGAAAGAAACGGGGATATTTAGTCTGAATGTGACCTACCTATCAGAAATGAAAGGGCCATCACAGTATGTGGGATTTCTCATGCAAGATCAATTCCAAATGGCATTGTAAAGATACGCTAGAGTCACGATGTAACCTTTGTTTCACTTGCTTGTAAGTCAAATGTATCTTTTTGACCATTTTCTGAGTAAATTACTTTGTTAGAGAGAACTACAACATTTAAACTAATCACCCACGAACAGATAACCATTTTGAAGTCACTGATTGCATTGAGGGCAAACTGACTTGTGGCTTTGCGATCCAAACTAAAGAAATGATGTCTAGCATAAGCAAAACTTTCAAATAAAATACTAGTCAACTAAAAAGTATCCATATAAGATTATAACTAAGATGTGTCGATTTACTTTTGATTTAGCTGCACTCCTAATCCAGCATATTTTAGCATGCAAGCTAAGAAAATGGCAGATATAAGTGCTCATTGATTGAAGAAGAAATCCAGAATTAAACACTGAAAGTCGCATTATACAACATTTACTCTAGAACTCTGCTGAAACCTACAATCAGCTAGAAGAAAAGACAATTGGTATTTGGTCCCTCCCAGATGTTAAAGAAGATCATTGCCAATCCTCCAAGTAACTTATAGAGAAATCCTACCTTTAATATACAGACAATCATCATTCATCATTCAGAGCGGATTAAGGTAGAAAGTCCCATAAAATTTTACAGTAAAATCGTACTCCAAATAAATTTTAGACGTTTATGTACTTTATAATATTTATTTAGTTTAACGGACATGTTTTTACATGCATGGCTCAAATATACAAGCAATCTTAATAAATAAGCATTTCAGCAACGTCATTTTTTGTTAGACACGGACCTGACTTCCTTTGCACATGAAATTTGAAAGCTGCAAACTTTCGTCACACGCAATAGCCTTGTCAATCTTACCCCCAAATATGCCATCAAATCTCTGCCAAACCCATCCAAGAACAACGCCTTTACATGAAAGCAGCAACACTACGAACTTGAACAAACAACAGTGAATTGAACAGGGAAAAGAAACAATAAATCAAAGGTTAGGACAGAGAACCTTCAATTGGATGACAAGAATATTAGGTGGTTGGAGTATTGACATCTGCTTCCTCGCCACCACCAACTTCTTACAACTACGAAGCAAACACAGTCTCACCAAATCAGACCCGAGCAAAAGAAAACTCCAAAACCAGAAGAGAAAGAAGATGGATATACACAGGAAAAAATAAAAGCTTACTTGTCACACTTGTACTTATTATTGCCATCTAAAACTTCCAGTTGAAAGAACTTCTGCAATGCCTCTTTAAGAGAACTACTATGCAAAACATCAAGACTAATATCCATTATCTCGTCAATCTTATTGGAGTCGTTTCCACAAGATAAACACTTCACCTGGCTCTGCAAGGCACCCCCGAAAATTTCCTTCACCACCGTGGAGCTTCCACTCGCACCTCCACCGTTGTAGTTGCCATTTCCATTTCGACGCAGCTTCTTCAAGCGGAGGCAGGTGTTGTGGCAAGCGTCGATGACATAACGAAGGAACTCGTGGGCGTCCTCCTGACGGCCCAAGCGAAAATGCTCGGCGAAGATCCTGAGACAGTTCTGGATCTTGAGAGGCGAATCTAAGGTGAGATCCAAACTCAAAGACCTCACTATCCGCCTCTCCAAAATGCAAAATGGACATTCGCGCTTTCGCTCGTTGTCGGAGGAAGCCGAATCACCTGAAACAGAAAAACGAAACGCAGGAACCACATACAGAGAGACATAAATTAGGGCTGAAAGCGGAATCAAATTGAAGAGAGAAAAACGAAGAAAATACTTACAGAGAGAGGAGTGTTGGTTCCGGAGGCAGAAATTGGCGAGGGGAGGGGTATAAGTGAGACACTGAAGGACGCTGTTGAGGTAGCAGGTATTGCCTAGGTTTTTAAGACCGAGTGGGGGGCCGTTCCGGCGCTTCTGACTCGGTAAACTCGGTTGCCAACTCATTTGCAATTGCAAGGCCATTAACGACCTTCTTCTTCCTGGCTAAGTTTGTGCAGAGCATTAGAGGCCGATGGTCCGGTACCTCTACTACCAGAGTGTCGCCGCCGGCAGCACCACCAGCGAAATCGCATGGCTTATTCGTCTTCTTATTTTGGTTATTTTCCCTCCCTTTCTTCTAGCGCCTTCCCTCCCCCGCCCTCCAACTGAAAATAAAATAGGACAAATCGTTGAAACGGATTCGTCTTCTAAACCAAACGCGGCTTTTATATTTTTTTTCCTTTTTTTTTTTAATTTCAAAATTCTAATTATTTTAGTGTTTGTGTTTTTTTTTTTTTTTTTTTTCTTTTTACC